CTCTGTCTGAAGTTTCTTTAAATAAAGAATGTTTTAAAATATTTTCCGTAGAGCCTCACCATTGTATATTTCTACATGGAATACTGTATGCATTTGTTTTCAATTATTAATCACACCGCAGTAAACTGTTCGAGCATGTTCGGAACGGTTGTTAAAATGCTTTACAATTTACAATACACTCTACTACTTTATGTATAATTAGCAATAATAGTCTATGATAGACACAGTGTTGTACAGCAGAAATGGTGAAAATAAATGTTAACTTTCTGTGTATTAAAAGTATGTATAGTGTCTCTACATTAAGTAGCTCTGTTAAGGACAGGCTTATGCAAGATCATAGGAAATAAACTTGTTTTAATTATGTATTGTTTGGACATCAAGGTAACAATCTTAAAGTGTTTGCATAGTTTCCACACCTTTCTTTTATGGCCAAATTTGCTTTCATCGATCATAACAACTTCACTTCGTCTTCCAATGGTCTGCTGGCCTCTTCTTCTCACTCTTCTCATGGCAGATTTACAAACACTCCGCAGCTTGTCTGCGAGCTTAGTCAGAGTTGCAGAGCTACGAGTAATTCCTTCCTGCAGCATGTCCACTTGTCGCAATCGAAGGCCTTGGGCAAATCTGTAAACAATCCAGTTAGTTAGGAGGGGAGGTTAAAACCAATTTTGAAGTGGTCATGGGTGTACAGTACATTTCCATATATACACATTTCATGAATGATTTATTTTAGAACCACTCACCTGTAGATGAAATGCATCCATGTTTGCAGTCGCACATGGGAATTCTCAAACATGGAGCCACTTCGGATGGACCTTGAATATGTTTTCCCTTTGTGACATGAATCCCGGCACATCCTGATGATTAAACAAATTGGTTGAATAGAATTCTGATAGATTAAGTCTAGATTTGTAAGGTCTAAGACATGGATTGAATATGACGCAAGTCCTTTGTGTTATTCAACATTTCTAGGTAGACTTGACAAGAAGAATCTAATCTACAATAATTAACTGAATAAGGAAGATATTTGAGTGCATTTAGTAGTGTTACCACCTTAAAAAGTAGCCCACATGCAAATATGAATTATCAGCAGAGTGTGATTTGAATTATGACTTTCTAGGTGAGATTTAGCTGATAATTCCTCCTAATAAAAACAATTAGGTTTAATAATATAAATTATATAATAATTTGCCATCAGATATGCATGAATCACATAGGTCACATAATGTAGATTCAAAATGGTGAATGTTTCTGAAAGGTGACAAGTCTGCATCCAACATTCAGATGAACTTACAGCTACAGAGCTAACAATATGATATGCCCAAAATTAATAAATGAAGCACAGGCTAAGTGTTCTAGCATTACTTACCATGATGCCTCCTTTTTAGCATAAGGCCGTTTCAACTTCATGACATGAGCACAAGAGGGGCATTTCATTGATTTTCGAAGAAGGGCTCTGACTAAAATGTATTCACCTCAAAAACGTGTAATGTTACACCCTACTTGTAAAATTATCTGAAATAATATTACATTCTCAGCTATTAATATTGCCCCATACCTCCACACTCCACAGTGAGGGAGAAGAAATGAAATAGGCGGGACTTACCCTTTGGGAGAATAATGATTGACAAAGCGATCCACCAATCCATGTTCTCATCTGTCTATCCGCCGGTTACTTCCGCTAACAGCGAAGCTCCGGAGGCGAAGTCCCGCCCATCTACTTCCGACTTATGGGACCTTATTATTAACAGTTCACGAGCATGTCCCCCGCCTCCCCCACCCGTTGACAGTGCATGTGCATGCTCTCTGTCCCCTCCCCCCACGCCTAGTTTTTCAACTACATTCATTCGTTTGGCCAAGACGTTTAAATGTATGGATTTTGCTGCAGCGGTTTGACTCTGATATTGTGTAAACATGTGTTTTAGGATAAGTTTTGGCGTAGTTTAAGTTTGACAGTGCAGTAACGTAGAGGGGAACGGGAGTCACCTGACAGGTTGCAAACGGCAAATTCATCCAATCATTCACTATCATATTAAATCCCCGTCCAATCAGCAAAAAGAAACTGCCTGCTAGCTTTTGGCCTTTTCCACTTGCCTTGGAGTTTGAAGAGGGACATTGGAAATTGTGTGCATCGAAAATGGTAAGTTACGTGCTTTGCTTTCTTATTTTTGTATTCATTGTGTTGTCTTTGTTGAAAATGCTCTCTTTCATGTGCACTCTGGACCTCTTTGAATTGTGTGCTTAATAAAGTCATTATTACCAACTCACGTTGTTGGCTGCGTTAGCTCAATATCGTCATGTAACCTACCCACTACTTGGCTGTATAATTCGTATAATGTTCATTATTGTTAGTCCATAAGTTAATAGGGACCCATTGCTTTTCAAAAGTAAATTATAGCTATCTTGCAAGCCGATTAAACATTGTAGTTAATCACCACAGCGAACATTAGCCCCGCTTCAGAACGGAGAACTTGCTAGCTAGCTAACAACTGGCGCGAAGGCACGGGGTTATCTTTTACTTGGTTTAATCCCCGGTTCAGTCGCTTTCATTTGGCCAGCTCGCTGCCTTTTAGACTCATGTTTGTGCACTCTAACTGTTATCCAATGTACATATTCAGCCTTTTACACAATATTTAATAGCTTTATTCTTATTTTTTTTTACAGCCTAAGGCAAAGAAGAAGAATCAGGTCCCAAAAGAGGAGTCGAGGATGGAGTTGATCAAAGAGGATCTAGATGGTAAATTGTATATCCCACAACTAAGAAGTACAACTTAAATGATTTCCTTGATTTTAACATTCATGTCCTCTATTCATTTTGTGAGTTTATTGTTCTTATACCATAGGTCCTGAAGATACAGAAAGCTTGGCCCCAAGTTGCAGTACCATTCTTGGATCAGGTGATTTCTTTTTTTTTCTTGCATTGATTCTTTGTGTTGGTAGTTTATAAACATTAAACTATATGGTGTTATTTCTCGTTCATCCTGAGATGGAAATTGTTGCCAGATGTAGCACCTCCTTAAGTTATGGTAAAAAATAAACAGCTCGTCAAAATTCTGAGACTGTATAGGTTAGAGACAATTCACTTCAGTAGCCTTCCAAGGATAAATGTAAGCTTAAAAGGGAACCCAACATGTAAATAAATGTTTCTGTTATATTGTGCTTTATAGAATAAAAGCACACATCGCCTCCAGGTTCATGTTTGGCCACTCAATGATACATTTACATATTCACAACATAGTGATCACTAATATATCAAAAGTGTAGTTTTTCCTTACCACTGTGCATGCTCATGTGGGTCAAAGTTGGGTCTCTATAAAATGTAAGAGTACACAGGGTTCCCGCGGGGTCTTAAAAAGTCTTAAATTTGATAGTCTGTGATCGGATTTGAAAGGTACTTCTGTGTTTTGGGGGAAATGTCCGGGCTGCAAAGTAACCAGTACGGTAAGAGCCTTTCAGTTCCCCCCAACAATTTGTATTGAATTAAATCAACATGGAGCCAGTAATCACTAACTTTGTTTCCCCCGGCCCCTTATTGGAGAAGACCCAGCTAGTAACCTAGCAACCAAACTTCAGCTAGCGGCAGTCAGAAACTCATGTATCTTCGAATCTACTTACAAATAAATATGGGGAAGTGTAAGTTCAACCGTATTTGGTTGGAAAACATCAAATTTAGTGCTTGGTTGAAACCAGTGGAGGGGAACGTGTTTGAAGCCCGCCGCACCTTTTGCAAAATAAATTAGCGTTTGTTTTGCTAATGTAGCGTTAGCTAGAGCAGCATTAGCTAGTGTAGCAGCTCCCGCAACAACACCGGGGGACCTCCGGGCGACGTTTGGGTCTACGTCAACCCTAAAAGCGGAGGTGCTGTAGACGCTAAACACCAATCATACAACAGCAACGATGAAAGATTGTAGCCAAGGCAGCAGAGCTCTTTGAAAACATCAATTTATTGAACTTTAAAACAAATAATAATTTCAACTGTATCTTTTTAACATTTGATTACCCTGAACGTATAATTCAACTGAAAAACCAATACAAAAATAAATTAAAAATAAATGATGCATTTAAATAAGTCATATCAAAATAATAAATAACAATAAACAAGATCAACAAATATTTTGGAGTGCTACTAAACATATAAATATGATAAATAAAAACAAATTAGACTAAAATGAATTAGATCAAATATGTTCTAGTGCACTGTCGCAACCTAGCAAAGCAAAAATAATCGTTTTTTTCGATTATGTTTTCATAATTGTGGCAGGCCAAAATCGTAATTGCGATTTTAAAATAGGTCTTTAAAATTCTATTCAAAGTGGTCTTTAAAAAGTCTTAAATTTGAGTTGGCGAAACCGGCAGGAACCCTGAGTGATGCATTCTGGTAGATAGTTTTTAAGAAAAAGTGCTAGAAGAGAGCAAGTAAAACAAAACAAGTAATTATTGCAATTTTACAGTAGAGACTACACAAAGGCAAGTGTGTTGGGTTCTGAGTATGGGCCATTTGATGCTAATGATGGTGTGTTTGATCCACAGGAAGAGGAAGGTCAGGCTGGAGATCAGGATCAGGAGGAGAAGAGGTGGAACAAGCGAACCCAGCAAATGCTGCACGGACTCCAGGTACAGAAACAGTTATTTACGACATTTATCTGCATTTTTATAAAGTAGACTGAAACTGTTGTCCTAGGCTTTCTTTGTAAAACCCTGTGATTGCATTTTGGTTTCAGAGATTTAACCAGGATTTAAGTTTTTATCTGCCATGTGCAAAAGAGTTTCTCTTTATATATTTGAATAAAATAACACAATTTGGAAAGCTTTATTCCTGGTTTTATGGAAACATTTTGTGCTTTTTACCCCATAGCGCGTCATGGCTAAGACTGGTGCAGACTCAGTCAGCCTGATCGAGTTGTGCCGGAACAACAACAAGAAGCAGGCTGCTGCTAAGTTTTACAGTTTCCTCGTTCTCAAGAAGCAGCAAGCCATCGAGATCACCCAGACTGAGCCCTACAGCGACATCGTCGCCGCCGCTGGACCAAGATTCAACCTTATTTAGACATTGGAAGAACAGACGCACTCTGCTTGCAACAGACATACTTTTTGAATTACTCAACTATTTGCCTGTCAGCCCATTTTTTCTGGGGGAGGGTGTAGTGGGAAACGACTTTGAAGCTTTTAAAATAAAGGATTTTACTGTACTACAGGTGGAATCATGCAGTATTCATTTGGTTCAAACAAAGTGAGAAGAATGTTTAACAAGTATATTTATAAAGCATCTTTTTTCAGTCACCAATTTGTAAGCTTCTGTTTTGTTTTTTAAGTAAAACTTCCATTGTCTTCTTATTTCACAAGTTTCATACCATTGCCCCTCGCACCTGAATCATTGCAGATTTGAGATAAAGAGCCCTGTATTTTCACATGAAATCCTGTATTGACTCTGTGCGGAAAGGTACTGTTTTGTTGCTGAGAGGTGTAACCTGTCCCATCTTCTGCTTGTTGCACTTCTTTCATGATAAACAAAACCATTTATCTGTCAAAAATAATGGTGAATCTTAGCTGGCATTAAATATCATGTTTCAGATGTTGATAATTCAGGCAGTTTATCACTTAAGTTTTATGTAATATTTGTTTTGTACCTTTTTACGTTTATGCTTATTCACCTTTTTTGCATTATGTAACTAGGTAATGTTCTTGTTACAGTTGAGTTCAGTATCCCACCTTTTTAGTCTTCTGGTAACCTAGTTGTGATACATCTGTAAAGATTTGAAATAAAGTGTTTTAAGTACTTGGTTAATGGTCATTATTCACTTTTAGGGTCATTTTCCAATAATGGGCTTCATAAAGCTAAACATGAAGAAAGAATCAACACATATCAATATAGAAACCATCTTTATTTGTAAGTGTATATATATGTGTGGTCTGATTGCACACAGTAGAAAAGACAATGGCATCTAATTTCCCATTCTATAGTCGTACACCAAATTGCAGTGGTACTAAACCTACCGGAAAAAGGATGGATAAACAATTCATTTATCCCAAGTTGTGATATTGTTTTGTCACAGTAGCATTTTTGACAGTTGTACAAGAACGAACATTTTCTTAAAAATAAAATACAGCAATTAATAAAATACAATATATACATATTGACAGTAGAAAATACATATATTCAGTAGAGTATCTAAGAATACACACTAACATATACAGAATATAATACTCTCCAAAAGACCAAGCTACTAAAGGGACAGACGCATATAAACATGTGTCCCATATATATTTAAAAGTGTGCACAGAGTAGCTATTAATTAAAATGTATCCTGTTACAACACGAGCCCGTCTGACTTCCAGTCGAATAGATCAGATCGACCGTTGATTCAGCAGAATCCAAGTCAGGGAAGAATTAATGTTATTAATGTTTTGATGAAGTTTCCATTTGTATGATTAAAAAACGGTCTTAATTCGCTGCTACATCAGAGATAATTGATTTATCCCCCAGGGTAAAGTAGATATGGTGTTATTGCATTGTTCGAGATGTATCATATCTCTCATCTATTGGCCAATTAATATACTAAAATACATAATTTCCCTATCCACATACAAGCTATCTACTTCTTGCGCGCTACTATTTTCAACCAAAGGGGAATCTGCAGAGCCCCTTTGTTTCTATACGGACAGGAACACAAGCGCATCTTTACCGGAAACTTCCGTCCCCGAACACTTTCCTCCCTTTTTCCGCGTGTTGCTGCTTCAATATGGCTTCACGTAAAGAATCTGCTACAGCTTCTACCGCCGTTATGGCTATTCCAGCCGGCACGTTGGACTCTCCTGTCAACCAGATCCAGATTGAGGGACTGGTAAGTGTTAACTATGGTGCTGTGTAACTGCGTGTTGAGTTGTGGTTAAGGACGGCAGAGCAGCCGCTTCCCAAGTGTTGCCAGTGATGGCCGGATGCTAGCTAAAGTGTGAGCATCGTCATGGCGGACAGATAACGTTAATGTAGAGTGCTCTCTTGAGCTGTTTCATACTTAATGCGTACTGCGTTATTCAAACCATTACATTACTGACTTACATAAATAATAATTCCTCTTACAGCCTCCCAACCGGCTAAAAGGTAATAATAAGCTAACTGTATTGTATGTGAACGTTAGCTTTCGGGGAGCTAAGGAGGCGTTTGATTTTCAAACCAGGACCTCCCTGAATGTGTTCCCTCCCTCAAACGTGTTGTTTAGATTAAGAAACATTCATTTTCAAGACATAATTATACACAAACAGTGACTTAATTGTTGTAAACATACTTAATAATTATTTTAGTATACCTATGCCATAGGGTTTTTCTACCTTATTTGATGCACGAGTTTGATTTACCATGGCCTTTTAAATCGTTCTTGATTTGTAAAAACATGTACGGTTCCTTTATTGGTCCCACGTATGAAACAACCCCTCTATTAGCACCTACAACATATGAATAAAACAACTGTGTACATTGATTTAAACAAATCTCCCCACAATAAAAAGCTGATATGTCTGTGCCCCCTCTGATCTGTCCCTACTCCCTACAGCACAAAGAAACTCATCCATGTTTGTTCATGGTCTCTGGTATGTGGTGCTTTCAGCAGAAAGGTTATTGAATACTTTGTTTCTACTTCTGTCTGATGTTCCCCATCTTCCAGTTGTTGGTCAGCTGTTTGATAATTGAATACGATATGGAAACATATTTGGACAAAATGATATATCACGATACACAATTACATAGTCTAAATTGACCTCAACAAGCACAATCTGATCAAACTATTGTCTTGATAACTCTGTAAACATAGTAAATTCATATCTGAATAATGTATTTATTCTTCATAATTTCACTTGGAACTATTATGTTCAATTTACACAGGATTATACAATAATACATTTGGTATTTTTAGATATATTGTAATTCAAAGTTTATTGACTATCAGGATAGAAGATTGTGGCCTTATTACGCACATTGTGATTTGATGGTAATTTTCTGCATCTATTTCCTTGTTTTTTTTTAGCTGACATGTTTTACTTTCAAATTATTTATTGCTTCTTTGCTTTATTAATCTCTAATAAGTGATGTTTAACAATTTTGTGACTCATTTTAAAATGTAACTTCCCACAAACTATACATTGCAGTATTTGTATTCTGTAGTACCTCTGTGTAAACAGTAGAGGACAAACTTGCTTCACAGCCTTGCACTGATGTTCTCCCTCTTCCTGGCGTACACCGTACTGGACACAAAGCAGCTCATTTACAGTGTGTTCCCTGAGCAGAGTATCGGGGCCTAAAGTTACCAGCTGCTGCTTCCTTCCTTTTAGCTTGCTCATTAAAGCTGCCTTAGAGTCGAAGGCCCTAATTTCAAATCTAAACATTCACCTCAATGTGTATTATTTAGACCACTAATGAGATTTTTCTAATTTATTTCCCCAGACTTATCAACCATTTTTAATCGCGACAGTTGAACTAACCACAGTGGCCATCCGTTTTCATTTGTGGCCTCATTTGGATTCAGACGGTTGAAGAAAAGGTGTCTATTTCAGGCAGAGTTATGAAACGCTGTTCACCTAAATGCATTGATATGCAGGCAGTTGCCGCTGTGTTGCGTCATGACCAGTCTGTCAGAAGTTTAGTTGGAGGGTTGCCCACAGACAGCATCACTGCGAGTTAGAATTTGATTGTTTCCTTGCTTTGAAGAGGATTCAGTGGTTGCTTTTGCCACAGGAGTAGAGTTCTGCATGGTAGAGGGTTCCAATTAAACACCTAGTGAGATCACACAAGTGCTGTATGTTTAAAAAAGTCTTTAATCATTTATTCTGACGTATGATGGACGTCAGAATAATTTTTTTTTTTCATCACTCCCAGAACAGTCCCTTTTCCCCGTTGAGGCCTTACTATTACTCTGGCCCTGGTCATCAGGGAGGTGTTCACATACTACATAATATTAGGGATGCACCGAATATTCGGCCGCCGAAAATTATCGGCCGAAAATGGTTAAAAAGGCCCTTTCGGCCGAAAAAATATCACCGAATGTCAGGGAACAGGGTTACGTTGGTAAGCTAACGTGTTGTTGTGATGACGTAATTAAAACGCGGCGACAAGCACGGCGCGCCACCATGCTCGCGGCTGTCTCACAGCCAACATGTGGAGATATTTAAAAATATCAAAGAAAGAGGCGCGGATTGCGATTTGTAAAACGTGTTCAGCTGACATTTCTCGAGGGGGTGTAACTGCAAAGACTTTCACCACTTCGGGATTACTCCACCACTTGAAATCAAAACACCCGGACAAATATGCGGAGTAAGATCAAATCACAAGCACTGACAGCGAGAGACTGTTCAGCGCTGCCTCTCATGTGCTTGATGAGAAGAGGAGCAGACTTATGGCTGATAAAGCAGAGAAGCTACTGTTCATTAAAAATAACCTCCCACTTTTCCTTAATAAGTAGACAAGGCTGGCTTATCATAAGCTTATCTAGTTCTACATGTCTACTCTATACCCACTTTCCTGAACAATTTTCATTGTGAGTTATAATTCACCATCTCAGGTTATCATTAGGGGGAAATGACAGCA